ATGTTAAAGAGGAATGAATGCAGATCATCAAGCAAAGCTGATTTAAGAACTTGGGGAAGCTTCTCACAGATATGTCCAGGAAATGGGCTACAAATGACACCTTCCTCTTGAATCAGAGACAATATCAGAAGCATCTTACCTGGACAGTTGCTCAATGGTCTAAAGTCCTCTTTTTCAATGAACATTTTGCATTTCATTTGGAAATCAAAGTCTGTTACTTGAAGTCCAATGTAGAGTTTTCACTGATTTGGGATGCCATGTCATCCATTGATGTTCATCCATTATTTTATCAAGTCCAAAGTCAATGCTGCCATCTGCCCGGAAAACTTTGGGCATTTCATGTTTCTATTCTGAGAAGCTTTATAGAAATGTTACTTTGGTACCTGCCATTACTGCTATGATATTACTGTGTTTGATTTTCCAACCAACTTAGCTGACTTTAACCCCCATACAGAATCTATGTAGTGTTGTCGTGAGGAAGAGGAGATGACAAACCCAACAATACAGACAAGCTGAAGACAATTATCAAAGCAACGTAACCTTTCCCAACACCTCACCAATGCCACAGGTTAATCACCTCTATGCCACACTGCATTGATGCAGCAATTTGTGCAAAAGCAGCTCCAAAAATGTACTGAGTACATAAATGAACTTAGAGAAATGTTGAAGTTCTCAGAAATATGAGTTTTATGGTATATTCTAATATTTTGAGAGAGTGGAGTTTTGATTGTTATCACTTGTCAGGCATAGTGTTCAAAATCATCCTAAATGTCACAAGCAGAAGAAATCATTGCTGAAGAACAGGTTGCATTTTGCCTTAGATTAAAAGTTCTATGCAAAAAATACATCAACAAAACTTCCAGCATATCCTCAAACTTTAAAAAAAAAAAAATCCCTTTGATGAAGTGTGGCACAAGGCATTGGGGACAACAATGAACAAATATAACACTAGTAAGAAGTTGATCCATGCTATCCAGCAGCTGTAAACAATGCTGAATTCTTCCATTGGACACCTCAAAGCTGTCTTCTGTACCCTACACTCTCTATCATCTTCAGTGTATGTATTATGACTGACACTAGGACAGTCAGCATCAAAGGTTGCAACATCACTTTGCAGACATAGTATATCTGGCAAAAAAAAAGAGGAATTCATCAGTCTTATGAACAATTTGGATGAAATATCCTCCAGATATGGCATGCAGATGAATGTGAAGAAAAAAAGCAAAAATGAAAAAGCATAAATGAGAAAGGGCTTTCAACCAAGATAAAAGTCAGTGGTCAGGAACTTAAAATATATTGGTTCGAAGAGGGTTCCAGAACAGAAATAATTTCAAGAGCAGCATGAAACTAAGAACCATCTGGAAAGACAAGAACATCTACATGATGGTCTTAATATTTCTGTATGTCTGCAAATCTTGGCCATTAACAGCAGAATGACAGTGAAGAATTCAAGCATTAGAAATGAGATGCTACATCCTAGACAATTCCACTGGAGACCATTTTACAAATGAAGCAGTGCAAAAAAAACAAACAAGAAACAATCCTGTTAGAAGACAACTATATTTAAAAAAAAAAAAATATAGCTATGGCCAATTCCTAAGAGGCAAGAATCTTTCCACTACTATCTTACAAAGTACCACTTTTGGCAGACAGGAAAAATGAGCTAACAATGTTACAAAGTAAATTGGAAGATCATTCACACACATTGGCATGCAACCAAGACAGAGGGAGCTGGTCAGGTGCTCAGCAACCCTACATTTGCACTTAATGAACTTAGAATATATGCAAGTTTCATTTTTTGAATTAAATTAATCTTGTTTTAATGTTAAGGGACAATTAATAAACTACAAGTGCATATCAAAAAACTTAGAAAATCATAGAAAAGTGCATTGATGATTTTATTACTAGTCATTTGTTTGCAGAATCTACATTCCACACGAGTGCATGCATACATACATACTAATGATAATTGTTCTGATGAGCTTTCCTCTTTTATGAATTTAAGCACAGTACTAGATTAATGGCAAGGTCTCATTTTACATTTGAAATGATTACATGTAACCGTAAGTTCTATGCTAACATTTTTTTTCTATCACACTTCTCGCTTGTGGAACTCTCTTCCAGCTTCTTATTTTCCAGTCAACTTTGATCTTCAAAAATTTAAATGCAATGTCAATCATTATCTTCCTGCTCTCTCTCTCAATGTTTTCTTTTCCATATAATCTCACACTCAGTAACCCCTTGCGTCTTAGTGGCTTTATTGCTTTGCTTGGGGTGAAATGATTAAAAAAAGAAAAAAGAAAAAAAGATACAATTTAAAATAAATGAAACACATGACTTGAATTTAAAGTGTTTTAATGTCCAGAACAATTTTAAGGAAGCATAGGTGATTTATATGAAGTGCTGGGAGCAGGATGTTCACTTATGGAAATAAAAAAAAAAAAAAAAATTGCACACTGTATTTGTGAAATAATAATGCCTTATTTACAGAATTATTACTTTATACGGTGGGTGAGTTTCAAAGTTTTCATCATTTTTAGAACTACCCCTCAGAATACCTGTCAACCCAAAAACGTCTGTATTAGTTATATAAATGTTATAATTGTAAGTTAAAAATAGTAAGTAAATTTTTAATGTGGTCTCTTTTCTGTAACTGCAAAAGTCAAATCATTATTGCAGTAAATTTGTCTGTTAGTAGAACCAATTGCACTTGAAACAGTTGCAGGAATTGCAGTTAACAGTGGATTAATTTTTTAGTCACCACTTTTTTTTTTCTTTTTCAATGAGGACAAGAAAAAAAAGACTAACTTAACCTTTGGCTGTGGCAGAAATTTCTGTCATCTGCAATTAATGAGTTAAGAAAAAAAGTTTCTCTTTCTTCCAAATAGTAGTAGTTTTTGTAAATCCTAATCAAAATTTCTGTCCAATAATCACAAAATTTCTATTGAAACAGTGGCATTTTTTTTTTCATGCCTAGAGGAATTTCCCCACCCACCACTTCATTTATAATTACTGCATAAGAGTAAAGTTTAGCCATCCCCCTTGAAGTAATGGTATGGGAGGAGGAGGGGGTGCAACCTTCCATATAGAAGGTAAAATTTTAATGAAAAAAAAAAAGGATTTTTTTTCATTTCATTATTTGGGAAGAGTGCAAAGCTTTTATCACGAAACGGCAGGGGAAGTGATATGGAGAGAGGAAAAACTGCAACAAAACAAAAAACTTTGCCATTGTCCATTAATTGGACAAATTTTGCTAAACTGCAAAAAATATGAGGCCTACAAAAAATTTTTTAAAAGAAAAACATTGCCAAGACTAGTTTTTGCTCTCATATTTAAATGAGACAAAATTAAATTCAATTTTTTGGCAAATAAAAAAAATTCTTTCAAAAAGATTCCCTCACCGTCAAGAACTAAAAAGACATCTGATATGTATATATATTTTTTAAACTTAAGCTATTATCAATCTTTGATTAGTTTTTCTTTCATCTTATTTTTGTTGCAACACTTAGATTTTTACATTCTACAAGCATTAAGTAAGCAACATGGATAAGAAAGAAAGAAAATTAGCTTCTGGTTAGATATGAACCAGCTTCCTTTATCTTTGAGAACCTGTTTGACAAAAAGACAGCACTTAACAAATTAGTCTACGAAAACTAATCAGAAGAGATTAAAAAATGGGACAAAAAAAATTAAAAATTCAATAATAAAAGGTATCTTCTGAGATCTTTGGGAGGAGCATCAAACATTTAAGAACCATGTCTGGATGCAGTCATTGGATCTGATGACATCTAGCAACCAATCTGAAGCAGAGATTGGTGCAAAACTATTAAGATCTGTTAAGTAGCCTTTTTGCAATATATTTTTTTTGCTTTGATAATTCGAAAAAAGGATAAATCAGACATTTCAATGAAATTATGATTCTTTTCAGACTTAGAATCATAAGATATTGGAGATATCAGATATCTTAAGGGTTTCTTATTCAAAAAGCTATTCTCTAAAAAATAAAAGGTAAATGAACTTAAAAAAAAAAAAATATAAAATTTGATTTAAAGTTAATGGATTTTAAAAATTTAACTGATGTTCCAAATATTTATTAAACTAAAAAAAAGTAAAAATAAAAAAAAAAAAATGAATGAACAATTTCATGCTTAATGGCCAAAATTGGGCAGAAGAAATTTACTTATTTCACTTGGGCTTCCATTTTTTTTTTTTTTTTTTTTTCATACACTGAAAAAATATCAATATTTGCACTGCATAATTCCAGCTTGTCATTTGAGTGATGAGAAATTTAGTAATAAAACAAGAGATCAGGCCACTTCTATATTACAAACCTTACAATATTGGAGGGATGCAAGTGGTATAAAAGAAAATACAAATAATATACCACATATATATTACAAATTATAATACTAATAAATATTGCACAGGTTCTGAGCAACTATATATATATATATATATATATATATATATATATATATATATATATATTATTATTCTTGCTTTCAAATTTACAAAATGATGGCTTTGATGAATTCAACACTTTTTTTTAAATCTGCAAAAGGTTCAAGATGTGAAGAGAGCTGACTTCAAATCCTTGATTAATTTTCATTTATGTGACAATCAGTGAGGTTTATCAATCCCTGCTTCCAGTTCTGATGATTGTCTGGACCAATCTGCCACTATCTTGATCAGATTATGAATTGAGTATGAGCAGAACATGAATGCAAATATTTCATCATATTTGCTAGTGTGTATATTAATATATATAATGTTCATCTTCATGTCACAATGCAGTATTGAGAAAGTCCAGTCAAAAGGAAGATTAGTTATCTCCTTTTAATTTTTTTTATTATTATTCTTCCATTCATTTCTCTCTTAATTGTACAGGAAACAGTTCATGATTGGAATGTGTGAAATAACATTTATCCTCAAGTGAAGAATAAGAAAAATGGAGAGAAAAAAATCCTATTTATCCATTTTTCAAATCTACAGCAGCAGGTTCATTCCACTTCAATATGCCCTTCTACCTGATATTTGAGACGAAGGTTACGTGCTCGTATATGTTCACTATCAATCTCCTTGGTTGCTTCAGCTGGAAACCAACCCATCTCACTGTCATCTGATTTCTCACCATAATACCAGCCTGCAATAGAGGAAGATGATTTTTTTTTTTTCACTGATCATTTTCTATTAAAATATGTACAAATAAAAATATTTTTAAAATGTTCAAATTCAGTTATCATTTAAAAAAAGGGGGGTGGGGGGTAAGTCTACATACAATGTAAAGACTACTTACCATCATTAAGTTTTCGTAATACTGTGATGATATCATTTTCTTCTAACGAGAGCTCATCTCCTTCACGGGCTTCATACCTACTGATAGCCTGAACTTGAGGACAGTCTATAGAAAGAAGAGAAAAAGAGATTCAAGACTTGGATAAATATTATCTTGTGGTAGTTGCTTATTTCCCCGTTTACATCGGTAGTCATTGAATCCAAATAAAAGTGAAGGTTTAGAAGGCTGATTTTCATAATAGGCCCTCTACATTTATTCAATTAACGCAACACAATCACCTTATATTCACTCATCTTTTTCTTTTTCACCTCAAAATGTGTGACATTAGCAAATGGAAAGAAAACGGTTAAGTTAAAAATAAAGGCCGTTCCAATTACTTGGACCGATTTTAAATGTGAATTAAGTTTAAGCGTCTAATGATTTTTTTTCTTTTTCTTTCAGATTTAACAACTTAAGTCTATGGCAATTTCAACCATGGAAAGATTAACAATTAAACAACGTGTTAAAGTTATCAAAACCTATTATGAAAATGGATGCTCAAACAGAAATGCATTTAATGAACTTCGCGATTTTTTGGGTCAACATAATTGACCAACCAAGAGTGCAAATGGAAACGATTTAATGTCATTGTGGAGAGGTTCAATTCCTGTGCACGACGACAAATAGAGGTGTCTAGATTTTTGCCCACATTTTCATGCACTGCAGCAATGTTTTTAGCTGAACAGCAAAACAAGTATGCAATGGTGTTTTCACATCTGCCACTGACCCAGTTTGTTTGAATCTATAGACAATTTTTCCAATTGCACTCTTGAAACTAACATGTTGTTTGATTGTTAATCTTTCCATGGTTGAAATTGGCAAAGACTTAGTTGTTAAATCTGAAAGAAAAAGAAAAAAATCATTAGACGCTTAAAATTAATTCACATTTAAAATCAGTCCAAGTTATTGGAACAGCCTTTACAAGCTTGGAACAAGATGAAAAGGATTAAAGAATACAATGATAAACAGACTGAGAGAAAGAATTGAGATTACTTTAAATTTTTAAAGTCTGTTTATTTTTTAAGCAGACACAGTTTGAAGCAAATGACTGTTAGTCTGATATTGTCAAGAAGACTGTCTGGAGAAAGCTGGGCTGATTGATGGCATTGCTTAAAGTGAAAGTTACAAAAACATGTCTCTTGTTTGCGCAACCGAGATATAATATTTGATAATTTTGGAGACAAAGACAAAATAGGGGAGCTGATTTATTCCACCAATCAAAAAGTGGAAATTGTAAACAAATCGAGAATATAGAATTTCTTTATGTAAGGACTCGACGCTGCATTCTTAAAGTGCGATAACCCTAAGCCGACAGCTGATAAATTTCTGACTGTATAAACAAGACCAGGCTGGGAAAAATTTTCTGACAAGAAATTAAAATGATAATTCTAATTAATGACCAGGAACTAAGCGACAACACATGGTTTGAGAACCAAATTTTGTCAAACAGACAACAGAGGCGACAGGCGTATGTGAAATACCATGAAGGACGGAGAAATTACCTTCACCCATTTGGAAATGTTGATACAAGTCACAAATAAGAGAAGGAAGGAGTTATCAGGCCAGATCAATACTTGTGACTGTTGCTCATAAAGAAAGATGTCTCTTTAAATTTGGAAATGTAATTAATTTTCCAAAGCCAGACAACAAAAGACTTGTTTGAAGATAGGGAAAACACCGGGTCCCCTAACCACGTTGATCCCAATGTCAGTTTTGGGTTAAATTCAATATAAGCAGAACACTTTGGACAATTCAACCAGAGTGTCAGAGACACCAGTTCAATAGTGCAAATGACGAGGGGCAACTATTCTGCCAAATCCCACGTGACTTGCTGCCAGAGAGAACTCCCAACTTAAGCCTTATTCCAGACTTAGTTAAAATGAGCAAAGTGTCACGATAGAATTCAAAGTGGGAAAGGTTACTATTTCTGTACAAAGAACAATATAAATCACATAGAAATAGACCCTGAAGAAAATTCCTGTCTTTTCTTTATTTCATCTGCAAGAACATTTTTCTTTTTCTTTTGTGACATAGCTTCACAGGATTGAACTACTGCTACAATTGCTGACGACAACTCGATCTTTGCCAGCTCTGTGAGCAATCAATCAATACAACATGGGGTGGAGCAGGGCACAGATCAGAACAACCAACTCTAATGACCACCGGCAGCATCAACCAGGAACCGACCAGCGAGAAGTGTTATGAATGTTACTTTCTGTAAATTTTTGTATAAATCAATCAAAAGTACTGATACCAAACAATAATTGTCGGAAATTTCTTGAATGCAACATTTGTCATGAACTTTGGCAACAAAGTTAGACAGATGATGTAGTCAGCATTTATGCAATATTGGAAAAAAAGCTCTCAGTGTATTTTAATAACATTTTGTGGAAGGGTGTTTTCTAAGCAAAGGGAAAACTAATTAGATTGGTGGGGAGAGGAGTCAGATCTACAATTTTTTTTTTAGAGAGATATTTTATAATAGTCCAAAAATATATGAAATAATTTAACCTCAATTACCTCCCCTGCATCTTATTAACTATTTTCATCATTTCTAATGATAACAGTACAAGAGGAATTCAAAGATTATAGCTATTGCTTTGTAATAGTTTTAGAAGAGGCATGGACTCTCTGAATACTTCAATGTACACTGCTCTATTTTTGAGACTTAATGGGTTATAGGTAGAAACATATCATTAGTGGGGTTTTTTTTTGGTTTTTTAACTGGTCATACTATCAGGATTTATTATTGGTGGTCATAATCTTAAGATACACAGATGAGACGGTGTTGATGGCTGACATGGAAAGAAAATTACAGGTCCTCCTAGACAAGTTTATAGAAAAAAAGTGAGAAAAAGCTATCCAATGGTTATCAGCAAGAGAAAACACCTGAAATGTGAGTTATATAAACATCAAGAAGGTGCAAAAAGTTCAAGTATCTGGAAAGCATTTTAACAAAAGATGGCAAACACAAAACTGTGATACAAACATACATTAGACTAGTGAAAGAGGCATTTCAAAAGCTAAGCAAGCTACTGAGAAACGAAAAAATTCCGTTAGAAACAAAGAAAAGAGTGCTGGATTGCAATGTGATATCATCCACTTATATGGTAGTAAATGTTGAACAATTTCCCTAAGAATGAGGGGAAAAAAACTACAAGCAGCAGTAATGTGGTTCTATAGAAGAATACTGAAAATTCCATGGGTAGAGAAAATAAACAAGGATGTCTTAAAGAAAATGGCAACAGGTTAGGACAGCTGGAATTCCTTGGACACACGAGAAAGGAGGGTTTGGAAAACTTAATCTTCCTGGAGAATATTGAGAAGAAGAAAGATAAAGGAAGGCAGTGAGCCACTTAACTGACGAGCTCGTGTAAATGAATGACGGAACATGTGAGGGCTACCTCAGCAAAAGGAAAAAAAAAAAAAAGAAATCGCTAAGAGCTACACAAGATAGAAAGTTGTGGAGAGCCATGATCGCCTATGTCCTGAAGGATGTGGCATATAGAAGATAATTAACACTGGACTTTTAATTTTTAATGGATATTAATGGATTAATTTTTAACTAAGGTTTCTTTCATTTTATTTTTCTCAGTTATTTAGGCCTAACAGTAATAAAATATAATTGCCTCAAGTTGTGCAAATTTCTTAGCTGAAATATTTATTATTAATATTTAACTAGTCTTTCTTTCATCCTACTGCCATTGCTTTTTTTTGTTTTGAACTCTCAGGTTGTTTTGACATTTATTCTACAAGAATTAAGCAAGTAGCAGAGATGGGCGGTGGGGGGGGGATTTCTGGCAAGATTTCAACTCACATTCCTTATTCTTGTGAACCTGCCTTACAGATTAGGCTATGAAAGGTTAACCAACCAATACTGTTCCGATAAGCCTGACAGCTATATTTTCTTTTTCATCATTCACTATTCTGCCATTTTGTTCTTCTATACTAATAATTTTAAAGGCAACAGTTTTATGTCATGAGAATTTCCTAGATGAGGCATTATTATAATGGACTATAATAATAAAATGTTTTTTGTCATTTTTTTTTCAAATCCACTTAACAGTGCAGAAAAAAGGTTAAAGATTTAATTCAATAATAGATAATGAAATTTTCTATAATAAACATATAGTGGCATGTAAAGATTTTGTAAAAAATAACGTTGTAAAAAATAACGTTGTAAAAAATAACGTGGTAAAAAATAACGTGGTAAAAAATAACGTGGTAAAAAATAACGTGGTAAAAAATAACGTGGTAAAAAAAGAAAAAAAAAAAAAACTACAGTCCAAATCCTGAAAAACTTTTTTCTCACTTTTAACATTGAAAAATGTGCGAATCTAAAGATTTGAAATTTGTTCAGTTTGCAATGAGCAAATTAAAATGTTCTTTTTTTTTTTTTTTTTTTTCTTTTTAATGAATAAAAAGAACAGATTTTTTTCAATCCTTCATTTCATAATTACATATTGAAAAATAAAAAATATTTTCATAATTATTCTTTGCTAATTAAGAATTAGACACTGGTATGTTGATTAACATCAGGTTGGAGGTTCTAATCAATGTGGGGTTACTTAGTATAAAACAAACAAACAAAAACATAACACTAACTTTTATAAAAGATAAATTCAGCACAGGGCCCCAGATTTAATATTTTTCACATGGTAAAATTCAAAGTTGGGGCTAATGTTCAAAAGGTTCTACCACATGCTCATATAATTTAATATTACAAACAGAAAATAGGTTTATATAAATGAATATATAGATTTTCAAGATTAAAGTAAATGTTTAGCTGCTTCCATACAGGAAATATTCAGCATCCAGTAATCAAACAGTATTACCATTGTTTGAAACTTATCAAATCTTAAAAGAGTTTTTCAGAATTCTTTAAGTTAGTGTTACTTTTCCAGGCTAATACATCCTTGTGAATAGCCAGGTTACTGGAGGATGAGTGCTTTACAAGAGGTTATCATCTCTAGATATATGGCTAACCAAGGCTAAAGAGCTTCTATTTGCCTGTTAGGTGAGGATTTGTGACTATGTAGTTTTAAAACATTTTTGTCTACCCAATTTCATTGATATAAGGCTTGAATCAACCTGTGGTTTTCAGACACTTTCCAATAGTGCCACACCCTATAGTCATCTCCCCAGGATAATATTATCAAAAAGTTATTTTCTTAACTAATCACATATGGTGTGATTCAAAGCTGGATCTCATGGTCAGAATGTTAACCTTTTAACTATTCTACCATGTGGCCATATAATTTAATATTACAAACAGAAACTAGGTTTATATTAGATGAATATTTAGATTTTTAAGATTAAAGTAAATATTATTGATTTGGCAAATGTTAGTTTTTGAAGGCCAAAAAATAAATAGGTTTGTATCTTTTTTTCATTTTGCTTTCATATCTCTTGTATATCTTTATTTATAAACTAATGAATCTAAATTTTGACATTTGCAAAAAGAAAGAGAAAGGAAAACAAAAATTCTCACCCCATTGTGCATAGATACGTTCATTACCCTCTACAGTGACTGATGTGACTACATCCAACCAACGTTCACAATCATTTCTGAAATTAAAATAAATAAAGGTTCCTTTGAGTTGCATGGAAAACGTACTCTTTAAGATACTTAGTGGATGTGACTTCACAAATTTAACAAAATTTAAATTTGGCCTTTTAACTTGATTCTTAGAATAGAAACATTAAACAGCTAAATGAACAAATTTAGCTCACTTAAATATATACATATATACGGACTTATTAATCAAGTGTGACTATTTCTAACATATCAACATGGAAGGCAAGACAACCATTGTATCTATACCATTATATTAATTTTATTCTAAATTGTCTGTGATACAAAAATATGTATAGGTTATATACAAATAAATAAATTATATACACATTTATTTGATTAAAATTATATACAAAAAAAATTACTACACATAAACTGACATATGCTGCAAAATTAAAAATGAATATGAATTAATGTTACAGAGTATTTTTACTCTGTAATATTAATTCATATTAATTTAATAAAATTACTCTGTAACATTAATTCATATTAATTTAATAAAATTACTCTGTAACATTAATTCATATTAATTTAATAAAATTACTCTGTAACATTAATTCATATTAATTTAATAAAATTACTCTGTAACATTAATTCATATTAATTTAATAAAATTACTCTGTAACATTAATTCATAGGTAACAGGATTCTGCACCATGCCACACAAGCAGGAGAACCCAGTCATGGCTGTCAGACAATTTTTGCAAACACATTACCATTTACATCTGGCCACCTAACTCCCCAGACTGCAACACCCTTGATTATTATGGGTGGGGCACAGTTGAGCGAGAGACCAACAAAACTCCTTGTAATACCAAAGGTGAACTGAAAGCAAGGATTATGGCAGCATTCACCAACTTAAACAAGGAGACTGTCCATAAGAGTTGCAAGAGATTCTGAAGTCATCTGGTGGCCATGGGTGAAGCCAATGGCAATTTTATTGAATACCTTTACTCTTTAGTATTTCAAGATATTTTTGTGTAATTTTGGTAAACATATCTGTTGAAATGGGATGTCAGCTTATTTTCATTTTTTGTATAATTTAGATGACAATTTATCTATCGCACCTTTTGTGTGTGTGTGTGTGTGTGTGTGTGTGTGTGTGTGTGTGTATATATATATATATATATATATATATATATATATATATATATATATATATATTAGTTTTAAAAATATGCTATATTTATGGGGGTAAAAGTTCTCAATATACAAGATAGAGTGTGTGTAAATGTAAGAGATCAACACGAAGTGATGATAGTCCGTTTCAATCTTGGACACAATCTTCAAGCCTGAATACTGCATGAAAGACTGTTGCCATTCAGTATTGATCACAGTGTCCACACACACACACACACACACAGAGGGTGGTAATAAAGTCATTATACAGTTACTTACAATAACAATTAAGACAAAGCAATTAATCAGCAGTCCAGTAATTTATTAAAATGGTTCTGGTTAATAAAAATAAAATGCTATGGTAAACGATAGTAAATTAATTACCAGTACTGTTTGACCTGCAAGACATCTGCTTCTATGGTTTGGTTTGTTTTGTTTTGTTTTATGGCATATCAACTTCAATGGATCATTTAATGCCAACAACTTTTTTTTTTTCCTGGTAATATTTTTGTTTTGTCAAAAATCTATTTCTGTTAATATTTTTTCCTCAAAAATGTATAGCTGGTAATATTATTTTTCAAAAAACGTATAGCTGGTAATATTATTATTTTTTTTTCTTCAAAAATTTATTTCTGGTAATAATTTTTTACAAAGTATTTCTGGTATTAAAACCTATTTTTACACTTTTATAATGCTTTTTTACCTCAGTTTCAGGGTTAACTATTTGCCCGTAGCTGGAACCTGAATAGGTGCTACCACCCCAGGTCAGGGTGGACCTGGGAACACCAGCAATTAAGAGGTAGTTCCACGCTCCTCAAAACCTCCTGATTAGAGGCCTTGCTGCTGGACGTAGTTTATCATCTTACCCAGGATGCGGATGTAGTTTAACGTCTTACCCAGGACGCCCTGCTTCAATGCTTTGCTTTTTTTATTATAAGTAACTTTATAGGTGACCTTATTACCACCATATATAACAAATTAAAAATTCTTGTTATGCATTTCAGTATTTAAAAGGACTTTTCAAACTCAATGATTTTACTGATGGAATCATATATGTTGTGGGAATGAAATACAACAAATTTTGATTTACATCAAGAGAACACTGAAGACACAGAGATGTTTAACTTTAATTTTTTGGTGTCTAATATATAACCTAGCTAACCTCAATCACCTAAGATTTTTTTTTTTCTATTACCCACGATTAGTTCAATATATAGTTTGTATATCATGCCCTCTCATTATACTTATATACATACATAGGACTTAAAAAATAAAAATCCATAATAATGCTCACTCAGAATTATGTGCCAGGACCATTTCTACTCGTTTGCTCTCACAATTTTCAAACATTACCAAGAGCATAAGGTAGCGGGCACCTTGTGGGACTCCTTGGGGAAGAAGTTTGCATTTATCGGGGTCTCTGATATGTTGAGAATCCAAGAAGGCACGCCAGCAGTAATCAACAACATCATAATGATTTCTGTGTAAAGAAAATAAAATGTTTTGATTTTATAATCAAAATCATAATACAGAATACAAAAAAAAAAAAAAAAAAGGAAAGAGACACACATAGGAGAACTTATTGGGTTCTTTCTGGATTTAAATAAATTTTTATTCAAAAAGTATCATTGAAATCAAAACTGAACTATATTTATTTTACTTAAATTTGGCAACACATACATATGTAATAAAATTAAATATTTACTCCCATAACATTCAATTTTATTTACAACTATCAAAGTTCTATTTCTTGATGTCGAGCATTGTAATTACAAAACTGCTTGCCTTAAGAACATTATCTTCCAGAAATACTGTGGCCAATCATTTTATGTTTATTTTACAAAACACAATCTTTGTTTTTATTATGCACATACATATCTCACTTTATGACTGGGTTCCAATAAGCTGCTCACTAAGTGAGAAGTTGTCTAACTTTCTAACATTTTTAATTTCTAAATGTTTATGTAGTACTGTAGTTGATTGAGGAGTAAACATGATAAACAATTTTTTAAAAAAATCAGCTATATTCTGTACAATAATTTGGTTTGCACACTCGAAATACAGTATAAACAACATTATTTTTCATTTTTATTCATTTTGAAGAAAGAGAACATGATGATCAAAGTTTCTGTAAAAACATGCAATAACAATTTCATAAGATTTCATTGTTGGTTTAAGTCTGGAGGTTGTTAAATGAAGAGTGACTGTAATGACATAGTAAAAGTCATGTGATAACAATATGAAAGCATTTACATATTGCTATGCTATGACTGCATAGTGGAAGGCCTTACTACCCACTGTAGACAGGTGCTTAATGATTATGAATGAATGTGTCTGATTAGAGGTGTTTATGGTAACAAACAGGTGACACTGGCTCAAAATCACACCCACATTCAATGCAGGACAGTTCAGCTTTCCTTTAGTTTCCATGGGATATGGAAGCAGAAGAGTCACCAGGATGCTCCTGTTAACACTACAAGAGTGAATAGAACACTTGACCTGGCCTCATGATGTTACTAAGCAGACCATATCAGCCTGGAGTGTCATCCGAGTTATGGTCCCAGTGGCATTGAGCTGATGGTAGGGTTTGCTTGTGGTGCAGACCCCATGATGTTATGAACTCCACTTGTCAACAAGGCATCCTACAGGCTGGTGGTGGTTCAATAATAGTGTGGGGCATGCTCATGATACATTGATTGAGTTCACTGGTCTGCCTGAGCAGATTGATTGGTGCCGACTATGTTGCACTGCTTCATGACCATTTTCACCCATTGGTGAAGGATGTACACCAACAACGAGATATTAATCTAGCAAGATAATACACCATGTCAATGAGCCCAAGTTACCCAGAATTGGTTTGTGGAGCATTCTGGAATATTTCTAATAAATGGTGTGGCTATCATGTTGCCCCAACATGAGTCCAAATAAATGATTATGGGAAGTAGTGGAAAGATTTATTCATACACAACTATTGAGAGAGTATGGCTCAACATCTTTCCACAGGTCTCCTAACCACTTGTGGAATTACTGCTATGTTGAGTAAATGTACTTGAATGAGCTAAATGTGGTTCTACACAATACCAGGTATTAAACTTTAGTTTACAAATGCCTCAAAATGGCAGACATCATAGATTTTACTGAAAACAAAAAAAAAGTTTATTCCAATCAATATAAATTCAGTTTTAAATACACAAAATAATTTTGTTTACTGAGTATAGTAAATTTATTCCTTTACCTTTGAATTAAGGCTAAAAAGAAAGCTTCAAGAATGATTTTTCATTTTAAAAATTAATTTTAAACATTATAGGTATCACAAATATGTAAATATCTGTGATGATGCCTAATATATATATATATATATAATGATGGCTGTCACCTCAGTGTTGAGTATGACCATCACAGTGCATCATTGAGATTATATACACACACACACACACACCTATATATGCACATCCAAACACATGCAGAATGTTCTGAAACTAATGTCATCTATTTATTTCCATATAACAATCCTAAAGCAAGTAGCAAAATCAATAAACCTTGTAAAAAAAAAAAAAAAAAAAAAAAAGCATTGAGAATAAAGAACCATACAAGAGGAGGGTACTGTAAAGGCAAGAGAATGAATGCCACTTTATGGACAAAGTGAGGAGGACACCAAAGCCATGAAGACAAAAGATTCATGGGATTGATCGGTGAAAAACAAACTAAAATTCAAGACTGAATGCCAACTGGTAGCCACCAAAGGCCAAGTCCTGAATACTAATTTTGACCAGAAGAACATCTATCACCAAGTGCAGGCTGGGTGGCACGGAAGTAGAAAATGTCACTGCCATGATAAAGTGGTCCTCCATCTGCATTGGTGTCTATGGAGGAAATATGAACTTGAAGTCGAGCTGAAATGGAACGACAAAAAACCAGCTAAGAAGATTGAAAATGACCAAGTCAAGATCATATGGGATTTCAACATCCAAACAGACTGTATCTTTGTGGCCACCAAACCAATTGTTGTTGAGAGAGAGAGAAAAAAAACAGAACAAAAAATACCTCCTCACTGATGTAGCTGTTCCTGGTGACCAAGGAAATTTAAAAACTTAAAAAGTACACTGACCTCTGGACTGAGGTTGCTAGAATCTGGGATGTTCAGGTCACTATTGTTCTAGTTATAATTGTGATGTTAGGGTCTATAACACTGAACCTAAAAAACTACATTAAGAAAATTGTAATAAAGCCAAGTAACCCATTGCTTCAGAAGTCTGCATTTCTTGTCTCTGGAAAACTTGATGAAGTGCAAGATCCCCAGTTGAAAATGAAAAGCAGTGCAGATGATGATGATGATGATGATGATGATAATAATAATGGCTATGGCAGCATTGCTTGGAACAGCACATATGCTGGGGAAATGTGTCAATAAGCTGTAAGAATGGAGATATGACCATCATTAGTTGGCTGAAACCTCAAACAGTTGGAGAGGATCTCAAATAAATAAGAATGATGATGACGATAGCTGCTTGTTACTGTCCTGTCTACTAGCTAGTGACTAACTAATCCCTGTTGCAGACACCTGCTCAAGGATATTTGTGTTTCTTTGACACCCATAGAAACAACCTGTGAGTTAAAACTACAACTATGTGGAGCAAACCAGTTAGAATTTCTGGTAGAGAGAGAGAGTGCATAATCTAGTGTGATTACTAGTTGATCAAGGCCAAGACTCTTAAACCCGCAGAACAAGAGAGAGTACAGATAGCACCAGATAGATAGTGTGTAAGTTTTTCAAATACAAAACGCTATTTTTCCAAAAGATGCCACAACTAGGGTGAGTTTTTGACAGCAATGAATATTAGACTGCATCCTATCAATGACAGTGGTGTTGTCAGGAAAATGTTGTCCACATACTCCATCTTCCATCACCTTGAATAGATGAAAGTTAAAAAGTACAAATTCTAGACTATATGGTGGAAGTAGATATTCAGCAATGGATGCAATTTTTTTTCTGTATAGATGAATTTAATAACAATCCTGCTCCATACAATTTAATTTCAGACATAATTTTTTCAGACTGCAGCTCAGCAAAAGAGACTTGTGTTATTCAATGGAAGATTCAACCTCAGCTACTCATCCACCTTTGATGCTGTAATATATATATATATATATATATATATATATATATATATATATATATATATATAAAAAAAAATATGTGCATTACTTTCAGAGCTACATTTATTTGAGTATACATGCTATTTAACAGAGTTTTAAAATATGATTATAATTATTGAAATTCTGTACCAACCCATCCACATTCGTTATTCTCCAGATACTCACCCTCGTTTTTTAGTTACAAGTAAAATATCATTAAACAAAAACAAGTATAATGGATTTTTAGTCGGCTTGGATCGCTTAAAGATGTTTTTGGTATTTGAGTCAGAGACAATTTCTGTGACTTCTCCTTTCTTTACAAGGTAACGAGAGGCAGAGATGAGTGGAAATTCCTGTAAAGGAAAATTGTGAAAGTAAGAAAATGCCACAAAGTTAAAATGGATAATAAAAAAAAAAAATAAAAACAGGAGACAATAACATGCCAGATTTAAAATTCAGTACAAAATAAACAAAAATAAAAATTATAGGCATTTTAAATTTAAAGAGAGGACAAAAGATTATAGTAATCTTTAATTAGTTTATTCATACTGTAAAAATATAAAATTAAAATAAAAAAGGGGGAATGTTTAACCTTCATGCCCACAAAAAAAAAAAAAAAAAAAGTGTCAAAAGGATAGTTAATTCCCTTAACATTGCTATTACTGTAAAACACTATTGACACCCTTGGCAATATTTATTGACAAGATTATAAAAATATGTGAACCAAGTACAATGTGATATTTATTATTTACCTTTTATAAAGATTTTTTTATCACTTTATAAAAAAATAAATTTAAAAATAAATCTTTTTATTCAAAAATTTATTAAAAAAATAAAAAAAATTACAAATTATCAACATATACAGGGTGATTGAAAAGTAACTCCCTATTTTATGTATGATGGACTTTCCCATCTAACTATAACTTTTTACAAGATGGGAGAGTCCATCATACATAAAGTATGGAGTTACTTTCCAATCACCCTGTATAAACCAACTACGATGCAATATTTATTATTTACCATTTTATAAATAACTATAAAAACAAGTTTTATATTCATAATTTTTATAAAAATATTAATAAACAAGAAAATTTGAATAAACATGATTTTCCAGACATACATTTTATTCTCAGATCATTTTTGTTATATAGGAATAAAGTGTCACTGCTGACACTTTAGTCTGAACACAGATCGCCAGTGAGCAAACACAGGCAATCTCATTATTAAATTAAGTAGACCACATGACCATAGAGGAAATGCATATATGGGAGGTAGCATGTGCCTAATTGATCTCCATTTCTAGTCTATCCTCTATTACTATACAGACCGCTATTCTCTACTCTATTCACTAGACTATTTCTCTATTTGGATCACTATACAGATTACTGTTCAAGCAAGTACTATTAGTGCGAGTGATATTCAAATTTGTCCGACACCAGCATTGTTCAACAGCATACTATAGTTTCCAGACATTATACATTTTCATCTCAGATTATTTCTCATTTTAATTTTCCAATTTTTTGTTATAATTGTGATTTAAGATCAAAAATGACTAACCAACAAAAAAAAAAAAAAAAAAAAAAAAAAACTCCAAACAAACTCCAGCAATTATAAGTTACCCCACTGACTGTTTTTAAAAACAATTTTTAAATCGTTGCTAATTTTTGTAAATTCCAAAAAAATCTGCCAACAGATTAAATAAGCAATCTAATGAATAATGTTTAGTATCTCTTGTCAATTGTCAAGAATAAAGAAAATGTATAAATCCACTTTCAGGTTTAGGTTTTATTAAAATTATAATCGTTGCTTTTTAAAAACAAAGTTGCTGAGAGAAACAAAAGTCTATACAGTAATAGTGGTGTCAAGGGAATAACTGTCCTTTTGACACACCATTTTCTTTTGCAGGCACAAAAGTAAACCTTGCCATAAAAAGACAGTAACATTTAATTAAGGAATTGTATAGGTTATATTTTTCTGCTTGAGTAATCTCAGATATTTCCTCTTTATAATTCTATTATCACTTGTAAGAAAGAATTGTTTCTAAAGTTCAAATAAAGTTTCTAAATATCCAAAGAAAACCAACCGTAAAGTAAAAAAAGAAAAAAAAAAGCAATGTGTTAGCAGCCTAATATTCTCTATTATAAAGTTTTCTTATTGGCTAATAAAATTCTGCTTGTTAGTTAGCAAGACCATTATGCCCTATCAATGCCTTATAAATAATAGACTATTCTGTTTTGATTGTGTGGAAAAACAGAAAAGACATATCAGAGACACTACTTGGTTTCAGTGAGAAAATGAAAGAATGTTAAATAAAAGTGTTTAACAGCTGTTTCAGTGAAATGGAAAAAGTTGCCAATTTCAAATTTTTTTTATCATATTTCTTTAAATAATGCCCAGCATGAATATGAATATTTATGATTGTTATTGCAATATTTTGTTAAAGTTGTCAAGTTCAAATATTTAAAGATGCGATAGGGGAATTTATATGAATATTTTATTATTGTAGAACTCACTATGAGCTTATTCAATCATTAATTTAAGAATTAAGTTTCATCAGAAAATTCAAATAGGAAAACTGAAATTTTCACTGGTACTTCCAGTTGGCTTCTAGTAATACTCTAACAATAACAGCAGAATATTTAATTACTGAAAAGAGAATATCAAGTTACATGACCAATAAGTATATAGATTGTGCTTTATATTAGAAAATAGATTATTTTTATGCAAGACAAAATTCAATAAATCAAATTTATATGATGTCGCTATTAAATAAATAACTTTAGAAAATTGATTTTGTTTGTGTTTTGTTATACATAAAAAAAAAAAAGAGTTGGGAATAATTATCATTGTGAATTGAAGAAATCATCTTTTGGAAGCGATTATAGATATGTGTTAAATATAAAAAAAAAAAAAAAAATACCTAAGCATACAAAAAGCAAAATGTTAGCCTTTGTACCTTGACTTTAAATTGCAGCTGTGATTTTATGGCAATCAATTCTTCCATACATTCCATTTGGCGAGCCCCATCATTGCATTGCTTCACGATCTGTAAAAAGAACAAATGAGCCATCAATATCAGTGTTTCAACTTTCAGTATTTTCGAGAAGAAAAGATATGAAAATAAAATGATACTTATAATAGACCAATAACACTTGCCTTAAACTATTGAATCCAAATATTATTAGTAAGTAACACTTGCCTGTTATTATTAGTAACACTTTCATTTTTTACTGAATACATTTTTTATTAAAGAACTTTGGGAGGGTATGTTTCACCCCCATTTTATAATATCTCGTGGGCAGGGAGTCATCCAATTTTTTTTTTTTTTTTTTTACAGTTTTATAAAGTAAAATCCCTGAAGATATCATTTCAGTGAAAGATTTATGCAACATCAAGTGTGAACATTGGGAAAATTTGGCTGCATCTTACCAAAAGTAATTCAATAAAACTAAAAAATAATTTTTTTTTACAATTCATGCTTGCATAATTTAATTAAACATTATTTTCTTTCGGAATGGACAGAAAAAACTACACTTAATATTTATTTTTAAAAAAATTACTTAGTGCAATTTTGAACACAAGAGTTTCTTTTATTAAATAAAGACCTGTTTGATGAATAAAAAAAAAGTAAAGTTTAATGCCATTTTCGATTGTAAATCATTTTTAAAAGAATTTTTTTTCTTTTTAGCAACTGTTAGATTATTTTTAGTATGGATGTACAAAAAAGACATAATTCTGATATCTTGCTTTGACTGAACACTCCACAGTATCAGAAGTGTATTATGAATTAATCTAATTCTGTAATACTTCTAGACAAATTCTACCCTGAATTGGAAGATCTATCAAAAATCAGTCAATTATTGGATTTCAGCAAAATTTCCAGTAATTATTCATTTATGAAATGAAAATTTTTTTTTTTAAGTCAATCACCCCTTACCTAATATTATGAAATCTCAATAAAATATGTGGACACTATAAATATTTATATTTCGATAAAGATAAGTCCTTGGAGAAATTACATCAGTTAAAATTTTATTCTAAACAGGATTAGATGTGGAAAATATACTCAATATGAAAAATTGTAATAATAAAACATTTTCTTTAGAAAGTTTATAGTGCTTTTTTTTTTAAATAATAAATTCTGTAAACTTTTGGATTATGAAAGAAAAAAAATATTTGCAGAAAAATCATTTTTTTAAAGATTTATTGTCATTTACTTAAATTATATTAATGTTTTAAAATTATTTATTTATTATTGAACTACATGGACACTTCTGAAATAATGTTTTTATAATCAAGAAATGTGAAGTTAAGCATAATCCATTAGACAGGATGTTTTGTTTAAAGGGAAATTTTTATATGTTGACATTTTGCAATCAGCATGTATGGAAGGAATGGTCAGTCAGTTATGTGCCATACATGATACACACTTAGGCGATCATGTATCTTTCGATTTTTTTCTCCCCGCAGTAGGTTGCCATTTCTTTCTGTGGTAGGCCAGGCCATATCCAAGGATATAGAACCCAGTCTGTCCTGCTATTTACCCATAGCTGGGGAGAAGAGGGTGCATACCTTTCCCAACGGTATTGGCAGGTAGGTAAATGCAATGGATTTGTCTGGAATTCAAACTCCGCTTTCCAATACCTCAATCTGAGCCACTGTCCAGTACCCCACCCTGCCTCCCAAGGAATGGTAAGAAACCTTTTTATTATGTTCTTGATTACCACTCATGCACACATATGCAGCTTATCTCTTATTTAGCAAAGACTTGATAATCTTTATTTCCAAGCTTGTAAGTCAGTGACATGGCTTGTATGCACAAAGAAAACAGATTTCTAGTTTGCTTTTTGCCATTTTTGGTCTTCCATACTTCAAAGAGGACAAATAAATTATTGCAATACTTTTTAAAAACACTATTTTAAAAAGTGCATAGCAGCAACTAGTGTTACAAATGTCAGAAAAATTGATGAAAGACCAGATTTTGAACTGACTCAAGTGTTAAGAATTTATCATTTGGCATTTACCTTGTTGATTGCAGATCGAGCCTGTATAGCAGATTTATACTGATCAGAGGCAGAATCCAAGCGATGACATATGGAATCAATTAGTAGAGGAATACGGGTAATGCGCTGCATGGGAAGTAGTAAGAAGGTCTTCATAGGCAGACGTTGGCAGATGTCATTTCGTTCTATCTCCTTTAGGGCACTAACAAATTCAACTCGCTTCCTGAAAATCCAAAACAAAAGTTATTAATAGTTACATAAGAAAAAAAAATGTGCATGTGTATAATTTTTAAATAAAAGTTTAATTTTTGTAACCTCTTGACCAACCCCGGAGTTTTATATTAAAATGTTCATCAGGTATAGATGTTCCATAAATAAATTTTAATGCAAAATTCTGGAGTTGGTCATGCTGATAAGTTCATTGAACATTTATCAATCTAGTTATCTAATAAGCACTTTCTGGCAGTTCTGATGGCATAAAATATATATATATATATATATATATAATAATGAACTCTCCCGTCGGTTTCAACGTATGAAGATCTGACAGCTTAGTTGATTCAGTTATGAAATTTTGTGCGATAATCTTAAGTGGCATTTAAGACCCACTAGTGATTTACAAAGGAGGCCACATATGGAGCAAGAGTGAGGATTGTGAGATGAGATCACTGTTAGATTGGCTGACCTTTTAGTTCTTGCTTTCGCTTCTTGAAGATGATTCAGACAAGCAGATTGAAAACTGCTGAGTCCACTAAAACACATTGATCTCCATTCTACCTGCTCCAAGGTTAAGCGCTCAAGGGTGTTATGTGGTATATTGACATCTGACAAGTTGCTTTTTAGCTTGTTTTTGTATCTTAGCCATGGGTGTCCTACATTCCTGTAGCCTTGATCTAACTGGCTGTACATCAGGATATATATATCTAGCCCCCACCCCCACGGGCAGCACAACAGAGTATCATGCACACAACCTTAAGGAGCTGATTGAAAACTCAGTATGCAATATTTTATATATATATATATATATATATATATATATATATATATATATAAAATGCAATAAGAGCGAATCAAGTATAAATTCAAACATTCATAACATTAATTTAAAAAAGGGCTCAATACAAAAGTAGAGCTATAATTCTTTATTATAGGTTATTACATTTGGACATACATATTTCCACTACAAAAATGCATTAATGTTTCTATGCAACATAGCATCTCATCAGGCAGTGTTAAAAAAAACAAAAAAACAATACCCACCTGATGAGATGCTATGTTGCATCAAATCATTAATGCATTTTTGTAGCGGAAGTATGTATGTCCAAATGTAATAACCTATATATATATATATATATATATATATATATATATATATATATATATATAGCCTATGCCTTAACCGAACAGAGCATTTACTTAATATTTGTATTTATAAAAAGAATGTATAAACGTAAAAAATGTCTTAAAATAATTGTCAGGCTTTGTCCATTTCATCATGTGTGACATCATTTGTTTACATTTGGATACGCTTTGAGCAGATATGAATGTACGCGAGAGATTCATGGAAGATTGAAGTTTAAAAACAGTAAAATCGACCTTGCTAATATATATATATATATTACTTCAAACACACACACACACATATATATATATAAATAATTATCTCTTCACCCAACCAGGCAAAGTATTTTTGTGAAAATGTTACTTAACCATTTTTTTTTCGTACTATAACCAAAGACTAAAACAATTCATTTACTTTCCTAAGACAAAATTATAACACTACAAATCTACTGAGAGAAAAGAAAGAAACAGTAATGTAGTCGCATACTCACATTAATTTATTATACATCCTCTCTTGATAAGTCATATTTGTACAATATCGAATGTATACATTAAATGTGCCTTGGTGTACGTGTTTTGTGATAATGTCACAAATGTCATGGATCAGTGGCGACTTTTTCCACCGTGCTTCCAAGTCAGCAAGAAGCCTAGAAATAAAAAAAAAGTTTTTTAAATTTAATTACACTGTCACCATTTTATAGTATTTCTAGAAACTAACAGCTTTTAAAGTGTACCAGAAATAATTTAATAAAGATCAAACAAAGCCATAAATTTTCATTTTTAAAAGGTTATGATGAAAGGATTAAATGGATTCCAACAAAATCTGAAATTTAAGATGTTAGCATTATTCACAGAGGAAAAGGAAAAATTGACATCAAACCAAGAGAATAAAATTTTACTAAAGAGCAATTTCAGATAAGTAATATATGCCAAAGTGGAATGAATATAAAAAATAAATTAAATAAAAACATTAAATAAAAACATTAAATATCTTTGATATTTGTCTGGATTTCTGAGATGACATATTGTAACTATTGGTACTATTTATATAGTTTGGACTGTTATTTTCATCTGTATTGTCAGATTCACAATGTTTCAGCCATTGTACACTCTGGCCTTCTTCAGGTGATGTACGCTGGAATTTCAAACCAAACCCTTTATTTCATTAACCAGGGTATATTGTCTTAGTTCCACATGCCATGCATTTTCTGGCCAAGGACACATGGCCCAGTGGATAAAAGTATTGATTGAAGTAATCCAGTGACTTGACCCAAACGAGTTATGAGGACCTGGTCACAGCAGAGACAAACAAAAACTTGAAGAGTGGAGTTGCTAAAAGGGAAATAACTGAAACTGAGATATCCAGAAAAGGTATGGCATGTGGAACTAGAACAATCTACTCCAGTGGATGAAATAAAGGGTCCAATTCAAAATTCCAACATATATCACTTGAAGAAGGCTGGAGCATATAATGGCCAAAACGTCATGAATATGACAATAAAAATAAGGATAAAAGTCTGAACAATGTAAATAATTAAGATAGTCCATCTTTCTTTTTTTTTTTTCTTAATATTTTGAAAGCAAAAATACAGATTTAAGTGCCAAGATTTGCTAAAACTAATTTTAGATAAAGTATTACAAAATTCAAGTGTAAATGATAAATCTTTTACCCCCTGTAAAGAGAAATATTTAGTTTGTTAATGTAAAAGAAATTCTTAAAACACAGTAAGTAGCAGTAAAAATCACTGGGAAATGATAAGAGTTATAAAGTAACCAGCTGGGGTTACCAGTTACAAAATGTACCAGCACAAGTAGCAAAATATATAATTCAATTCCTCTGCTAGTGTATCAACAATGAAGGCAAAAGGAACAATGTGTAACCAGGTGTTGCCTTTAAGAGAACAACTTTCCTGTTGAATAACTCAAAAAGCAATGCTATCTACCACTTGAAGTTATATCAAAGATTTTATTTGTATAGTATGGAGATAACTGAACTAAAGTTGTAAGGGTTATTGTAGATCAAAGTTTATTTTTCTATCAGTCTGCAGGTCACTCATCTTTTATTAGTCAAAACAAACCAACCAATGCCAATTCCAATCTGTGGTGATTAGTATGGATTCCGGCCCTATATCAAAACTCCTAACCAGCATCAACATCAGTGGTTCTTAAATGGAGTCCATGTAACATTACTGAGGGTCCACAAATAGCAAACTGGGGATCCATGATAATATTTTAGTGATCCATAGAGCAATTTCCCTTCAGAATGGTTGTTACAACTGAGAATTGGAATTTCTACAGTAATCTATGCCATATTAAAATCCTAAAAATGAAAAATAATTCTAAAACTAACAAAATGAGATCAAGTGATGTTAGTGTCCTGTTTTGATTGAAGTTGAATAAAAACTGAGGATATATAGCATACATAAATGTTCCATAGAATTTAGTTGTTAAATACAAGTTTATTTTCATTAGCTTTACTTCAAAATAAAGCATTTACTATTTCTATAATACAATTCCTAAACTTATCGTAAAAAATGAAATAAGTTTTTTTTTTCATCAAATGGTTACAGGGGTTTCCAAAAACAAATTAAGAGTAAAAGTTGTCCATGGGTAAAAAAGGTTGGGAACCACTTATATTGATGGTCAGCTAGTAGATGGAAATTCTCTATATCTTGGTGTGAGGAATACCAATAGGATCAAAGAATAAGTTATAATGGCTTCTCCTTATAACAGAAATCTCTATAGCGTTAGAAATTGAAATTCATAAAAGAGGTTTTAAAACTTTTTTTTTTTTTTTTTTTTTAGACAGCTGATCTTTGAGTTTTTCCAGAGTGCTTTTCTTGGAGATGATCCTAGTCTCAAATTTGCTTTTGAGCTGTTTTGAAAATTGTTTTTTTTCTAAAACATTAATTTTAAGAACAAAAGTTCTTGGAAAAACAAAAGTGTATTTTCTCTGTCTGATTTTCTGGGATGAGGAGTTATTATTTACATGTGGACTATTGTCCTTATCTTTATTATTATCATCACAACGTTTTGGCCATTGTGCTCTCAGGTATTCATCTTGAGAACTAGACAAGATAGAACTAGACATGGACAGAACAAAACAAAATAAAGAGTTCAGTTCGAAATTGCCTGTAGGCTACCTGGATCAACATACACATGATGTAGGCCAGAGATCTCAATGGCCGAAACGTTGTGATATCAACAGCAAAAATGAGGATGTATAAGTAAGAAGGTATTAGCTGTGTGAAACACTTTTAAAGAAAAACAACAGTGAGCAGAGTAATGATACTGAAGACACAGCCATTAGTCCCTAACTCTTACTAGACTTACACACACACACACACACACACACACACACACAGAGAGAGGAAAGAGGAGGATGAGGAGAGAAATAAAATTGTGATTACTTACTTCTCACTTGTTTCACGCACGGCACCAATGTTAGAAAACAGTTCATGTCTCTCTTGTCGAATCAAAACACTTTTGTCTGATTTATCAGAAAACTGAGGACTGAGCAGAAATGTATTCATCAAAATGTTTAAACTTTTCAGATAAGAAGCTTCAGAGGTGATTACTTCAAATATAGCCTGAAATAGAAAACGGATTCAGAAAAATAAAAATTTATTTATATTCAAGCCATGCAAAATTAAATCGACTTCATCAATGAGGCTATAGTGTTCAAAGATAAAACATTGATTATTATTGATTTTAGACTAGTAATTCTTTCCTCTTAATTTTCATTATATTTTACCACCATTCTCAGATCATCCTTGTATGAATGTTAAGTTTATTTCCAATCTGTACTGATTACTATAAAACTGTACAATGACTATCTGAGAATTATAACAAAAAGTAAGTAAAATTAAGATGACAGAAATACTAGATGAAAACTAACAATGCTTCGTTTAGGAAATTAAATTTAAAAGCTGACAGTATACTGGTGTTCAGAGAAATAAAGAATATAGCTATATGGCTAAAATTGGATAACTTCTACTTATTGACAATTATAGCCAAATCAGAAAGATATTGCCATGAAAAAGTAGGCAACCAAGAAAATAAAAAAAAAAGAAAAGAAAAAGAGAGTGAAAGTTCAAATTTCATAGAAAACCAAATTTTTATTTCTGATCTGAACAACTTACTTAAGAGAATGACAAAAACAGCAACAATGCAAGAAAGAAAATAACAGCTTTAATAAAAGTTAATAAATTGATGGCTTGATAATGATTGACATTTATTTTAACTTAGGTAGAAAGATACATTCTTTCATGAAGACAGAGAGCAAAAGAAAAACATGGAAACAAGTTTTATATTTTGTTTTAATTTATTACCAAAAAATTCAGTACACTATAAAGAAATTTAATATAATTATTGAAATTAATTTCATGATTTCTTAACACTTCTGATTCTATGGATATACTTATATGTATTTACAAAACTTACATTGCCTGCTGTTGACAGATACACATTTTCAAAACACTATGAAATATCAGACCCTAGAGTGTGTGTTATAAGCTAAATAACCCTTAGTGCTATTTCCAAATCTATGTAGATGAATATTAGCATACAATACAACCTATTTTCGGACATGTTTTTATATTGTGATGGAGGTGTCATTTACCTTAGTCTATATTGCAGAATATCTGACTAAAATGAGAAATCACTGTCAGCATCAAAATGCTTGGCAAATAGATTAGATTTTTTTCCTATTTTCATCCAAAAAAGGCCAGCACTGTCATGCAACAATGTTATAATAATGCAGCAATGAAAGCTTTAATACACTCCTCAAAAGAAAACTTACTTCTTGGCATTTTCTTTCTGAATCTGAAATTGTATCCAAAATATTAGAATTCTTCACCTACAAAGATACAAAATGGCATTTGCATGAATGTTTAAAAAAGACAATCTGTGAAAAAGTAGAATATTTTTGAATTGACAGTGTCTTTTAGTCAAAGTGCATAACTCAAAGACCAATTTTTCAAATGTAAACTTTATCCATGATCATGGTGGTTCAAGATAATTATTTAAGAATCATGGATTTCTTTTCATTTATAATATTATGCCTTCACCTGCAATCTAAATACAATTCAATTTTTACAATGTCTGAGAAAGCTTTATAATAACATTACTAACATTGAGGAGTAAAATTTGAAAATGTCCATTTCAGCCAATACATAATTGTTAAATCCCAGGTTGTTGGGATGAACAAAAATGAATGAAAATAAATGACAAGGGTATTTTAATACATACTAAAATATCTTTTATTCATTTACTGCCTGAGTACAGCAAGTATATGTTTGGATTTAAACCATGAGTTCCACATGCATGAATTCAGAAGTACTGTGATTCAACAAGTGGACAAGGGCTGTAACTCAATTCTATACTGAATTATCGTCCTTTATAGAGGGAAGCAAGTTAACGCCCCCTAACACCTCCCCTTTTGAGCCTTGTGCTCGTATGATTTGTCAGGGATTTAACTGCAGTAGGTATGGCTTACTTTGTAGTCGATGGGATTTCCTTGGTGCACTTTTCTGGAATCCTATTTTTGTCTCTTGGCATTACTTGGGAACTTTGTTGAAGTTCAAAGGTGTCCAATAAAATGTTCGGCAGTAGAGTTAAATTTGGTCTCTGGAAGGTTTGATGGCTGTAATTGGTTTGCATGTCAAACCCAAACTGAAAACTGTATATCCACGTCATAACATTTCCAGAACGACGTATAATGCATCCCTGAATCCATTTTTCTTTACCGTTGTGGTAATCTTTTGCAAGTACAGGTTGTCCTGGTACATATTTGCAGTTCACTGCTCCATGATGACAGATTGTACTTCCATCTCCGTGTTCCTTTTTAAGGAATGGTTTGTAATTGGATGGATGATATCTATTTGTAAACAAACTTTATGTTTCATCAATGATTCTGCTGGTGTATTTCCATTAGGTGTGTTTGGATTGAGTGTAGCTCTATAACTTCCGAGGAATATTTCTAATATTTCTTGTGTGGTTCCCTCCACTTCTAGTTTGAGGAGTGCTTTCTTAAAAGGTATCTACAAATCACTCCACTTGTCAATTTGATTGTGAATGAAAAGGGTGATGTCTTAATGTGTTGAATACCATTCTGTGCACAGGAAGTTGAAAATTCATCTGAAGTAAATGCAGTGCCATTATTAGAAACTAGTATCTGTGAGACTCCAAATAAAATAAAGAATTATTTTAACTTAAGAATTGTTTCATCCAAGGTGATGCAATTCATCTGAAAAATTTCTGGCCATTTTCTTTAAGCAGGAACGAGGATAAGATAATACTACTCCTTGATGGGTCCAGCAAAGTCAACATGAAGGCATAACCAGGTTGATTCAGGGATAGACCAAGAACTGAATGTAGTTTTCCTGGAAGATTTTGCTGCCAGTTGACAATTGGAGCATGTGCATATGAATTCTTCCAACTACTTATCCATGTTTGGCCAATAAACATAGCTGCATGCTAGGGCTTTCATATGGCTAATACCTTCATGACCATAATGGAAATGTTTTATCACTCTTTCATGTAAAAAAAGTTCCACAAAAAGAAGGTAGTCATTGACTTCTGACAATGAAGATTGATGCTGAAATAATGGCTGAATTTTTTTGTCAATTCATACATCTGGCCATTTTGTACAATGGAAGTATATCACTTTTTTAACATTGGATCAGAAGTTGTGGCTTCACAGGTCATTGTAGAAGTGACTAGTAATGCTTTTACAGTGGGTGCAAGCACTGAAGTGACTTCTGAGTCTAGAGATAATGCTGCGATGACCGAGTCTTCTGGTACTTTATTTTGTGTAGTCATGGCCAATTGTATTTGTTGAATTATATTTTATAGAAAATTATAATCTAAGAGCATAGTAATCTTTGCAGACGGTTTTCTCTATACACTGGGATGCTTTTTTTTAGATCCAAAAATACGAAGAGGCTTGTGATCTGTGATCAGAGTGAAATGACTATACAGCATTTTGTGGAACATTTTAATAGCAAAGACTATTGCTAAAGCTTCTTTTTCAATTTTATTATGCTCTGCCAGTGTCACTGATCTGGATGCATGAGCTATTGCCTTTTGGCAGCCATCAGGTAAAATGTAAGAAATGACATCTCCAATACCATAATTAGAATCATCAGAGACCACCACAATATCCATGGTTGGGTTATAGTGTGTCAGCAAAAGATTGGAAGAAAGTAAGGACTTTACTTTTTTGAAGGCTAACCGAGACGCATCAGACCATTCCCATGCAACATTTTTTTTCAAAAGATTGTTGAGGGGTGCACAAACTCAAAGTGCAGGCAAAAAAGCACTGTTGTCACTAACCAAGCCAAGGAAAGAATGTAATTTTGTTACGTTTGTCAGTGCTGGCATGTTTTTTTTATTGCAGAGATATTTGCCAGGTCTGATTGTCTACCATTTTTGTCAAAAATAAACCCAAAATATTTGATTTGTTCTTGGAAAATTTCACACTTTTCAACTTCAACATGGAATCCTTATTGTTGAAAACAGAAAATAAATGTTGCAAAAATTCATCTTGATTTATTCCTGAAGCAATATCATCGATAAATGCTGCAAATCCTGTCAATCTGGTCAGCATGTCATCCATTGTTTGACGGAAAAATAGCTGGTGCTTGTTTGACACCAAAGCTAAGATGGTTAAATCTGAATAATCCCTTGTGGATGTTGATAGTAAGGAGCTCTTTGGACTCCTTGTCACCTTCCAGTTAAAGACAAGCATCAGAAAGATTAACCTTTGCAAAGCAAATTCTGCTTTTCAGTTTTATGAAAAGATCCTCCAGCACTGGAAATGGATACTGATGTACATCTAAAGAATCATTCAAACCAGTTGAGTAATGGAGTATCTTGACTTTTCCATTTAACTTTTTAACAACTACAACAGGAGCTACCCGCTCAGAGCAATTAACAAGCTCTATTGCATCTTCTTATTAAAGATGTTGCAGTTCTTTTTCAACCATATTCAGAGCAGCATAGAGTACTGGACATTTTTTGACTAAAAATTGGCTTAGAATCTGGTTTTAATTTCAGAGTAGCTATAACTTTTGTACATCAAAGTCCATCTTGAAAAACATCACTAAACTTATTTTTAAGTTCATCCGTGAAATGATTTTCAATATCAGAAACTGATGTGAAGTTAAATGTAATGAACACATATTTGAGAGAAATTCAAAAGTTTAGGTTGTTCTATCCAGTCAAGCCCAATTTACTTTGGAATTATCTGTGATGCAACACACACCAGAAAATGTTCTATTTCGAAAGGAAACATTACAAGTTAACTCACCAGTTAAACAACTTGTACTTCAGATGAGCTCATTTCTATGTGATCTGTTTCAGACACACATAGCTTTTCAATTAGTTCCCAAGTCAAATGCAATATTAACATTATGTCTGATGCTGTATCAAACTGGAAATGAATTGGTTTGTTATTTACAGAAGCAACAAAATATTTTCTGCAGAATTCGTAATCCACTTTGAATGTTGCAAACACTGTTTTGGACATTTTCCCTTTTTAATTTTTTGGGGAGGTTGAATTTTTGTGTGAATTTAAATTGAAAAATACTTCTTTATGTCCATTTCGGTGACAAATATTGCACTTGTGTTTTTTGAAAGAGGTTTCTTTTCATCTCAGGGTTGTTTTCTCTTGTGGATGTTGCTAGTTATTGATAAATCATTGTTCTTTTAAATCAGTATGAGGTCTCTTTTTATGCTTAATAAATTATTGCATTCAATGGTGAAGGCTTTTAACATAATGTGTTTGTCCTGTTCCTGTTTTGAAAGAAATTGGGTGTGAACATTAGTATGAGTAGAAAATTTTAATCCTGCGATAAAAATCAAACATTTAAACTGTTCCTCTGTGAGGGAATTTAATTAAAATTTTTTGCATTGCTGATTGACATGACCAGCAAATGTCACATAATCGTCAGTGTCATCTTTTGTTAGCTTTAAACATTAAATCGAATATTAAACAAAGAATGTTTTTCTTCTAATACTTCACTGAGTTAATCTACTGTTTTCACCTTTGTGAGAAACGTCAGCATGAAAGGTATCTATCGAATGTTTAAACCACAAAGTGAATATTTTTTCTCTTGATGAGTCATAGTGGAATTCTATGATGTTGTTGGGCAAGATATCTGCTGAATTGGTATTTTGGTTTGTTCCAGTGCAGAAAATTTTGAGATTATTCTGGAACTATGCAGTCATTGCTGTCAATAACTATTGTTGTGACTTCTGAAACTATTCTTGCTGATAAAATCTCTGTAAGCATCTCTGGTGAAATTGCCATGTTGATTTTGAGGTTTGAGTCTTCATCGCCAAAAATTTGTTATAATCACAGGTTGTTGGCATGAACAAAAATGAATGAAAATAAATGACAAATGTATTTTAACACAAAAGAAAATAACTTTTATTCATTTACTGCCTGAGAAAAGCAAGGAATTGTTTGGATTTAAACCATAAGTTCCACGTGTGTGTCATCTTATCACCATGTTGAATTCAGAAGTGTTGCAGTCTAACTAGCAGACAAGAGTCATAACTCAGTTGTATTTTGAGTTATCTTCCCTTATAGGGGGAAGTAAGGGAACAACCCCTAACAATAATTATTCAACAATCAACAACATCTGAAACAACAACTGAGCAACTCAGAAACTTCATTGTTTGGATTATTACAAATTTGAAGATATCATGAAATTATGTTTTTTTGAGCAGGTTTGAAAATTGGTCTATTTTTGAAACAGGACTTAAGTAAAAGCAAATGTTTTGAGAAAGTGGTTGTCTTTGAATTTAAAAAAAAAAAAAAAAACTGTATTAAAATTTCAAAACATTACAAAATAAACAAACAGGAACAACTATGAGCAAATGTAATTTTAAAATTAAAAGCTACAGTTCAGTAATGGATGATCTTCTGTCACTCATTTAATGTGGTGTACCTTTTGTCTAAGCATCAGTAAAAAGCTTAAAAGTAAAACTGAATAAAATACACAATTTTTTTGTTTTATATAAAATAATCTGCTTGTCACAAAAATGTATAAAAAAATAACTAAAACTTACAAACACAAAGTGATCTAAACTTTTTCTTTTATAAATTTGTACAAGTAATATCTATATGTAACGTGAATAAAACAACTTAAAACTTTAAAGAAAATTATATAATGTAAAGACTTATAAAATATTTATAAATATATAATAAAATATATAAATATGTATAAATTATGATAAAAACTTTTTATAAATATAAATTATATATTTATATATAAACTTATAAAAAAATTAGGAAAATTGTTTTAAAGAAAAAAATTAATAAAGAATAAATAAAATATTACTAACTTGAGGCATTTCATGCCACAATGTTCTTTGAGAATTGGGCCGGAGAAATTCACAACCTAACTGAGATGATCTCGATGAAGATGAATCCTGTATACTTGAAGAAATGGTAGTTGGAATTTCTTCAGGTAGACTTTCATCTTGCTCTGTTTCTCCGATTTCACAGTAGATATGAGCTGAAAGGAAATCAGTGGCAAATCAAACACCAATATTGAACAAAATGAAGTGAAAGCATAATTCCAATAATGTTCAGAGATAACTACAAAAAAAAAGAATAAAATGTTACCAAAAATAATAATGTCTAAGACCTCCATTATACTCTCCTTCAAATTAGAACTCTTTCTGATTCACTCCACATCAAAACCTGTCGGCCAGATGTGAATGCAGTGAAAGCAAAATTAAAAATGTCACACTCTGTGCAGGGGCTCTAAACATCACATCCGGCTCATAAAACAAATCCACCTCCCAAATATAATATACAATTTAAACATCAGAGCCAATCCTGAGCATTACCGCTAAAGCAAAAGCATGACAAAACCAGTGAGTCATGTATCCACCCTGACTGCTTAAAAGGACCTGCTCAGGACACTCAAGGCAATAGGCAGGCAGTTACAGAGTTCAGCAGGTGGTCCCAGGTCAACCAGCCTGACACAATTTTCGATGCCAGTCCCTACTGACTCCACCATCTTCCAGGTCGCTTTCCTTGCCCACAAAGAAACATTCCACCTTGATCCTTTATACTGGCAATGCAGAGAATTATTTATTTTCACATATCTGGTTTCTGCCTCACCAGCAATACTTTGCTGTTTCTGTTTGTTCTTTTGCAACCATATGCAGTATATAAGCACCTGCCTCCCAATTTACATTTAATATTAGAGTATTATGCAGTCCAACTACGTACAAGTATTGGTGGTTTACATGGGTAAACATTAGGCACTTCAACTTTGTATATAAAACCTCTTTAGTTAATTTTTATAGATACAAAGAAATAGAAACAACATTTACATGCCATCAAATACAGTAGGTGACGAGTTGGAATTTAAAATGTTATCAAAATGCCAGTATTTTACATTTTTGCTAAATCACAATTCAAACCATAATGGTTGCAAGATTTCATTGTTAAATAGCAAAAACAAACAAGAAAAAAAAAGTAGTTTTTCAAATGGCCACCACACTAAAACAAGAGCCACTCAAGAGAATTTTAATCTGAATGGATCACCTGACAGATTTGCACATTTAACTATAAGAAACATCTGGATATTTAAAGAAAGAAAACTTATTTATATTTACATTAATTATATTTTCATTGCTAGATATTGAGAAAATAAAACAAGCAAAAAAAACAACAAATACAACAAACAAGAAAAAAAAAAGACAGGCAAAGAAAAAAAAAAGAAATTGGTAATAAGAAAAAAACAAAAAAAAAAAAACAAACTAAAAATGACTTATCAATATTAGAAGTCTTCAGAAAGATATTCAACCAAAGTAAAAATGCAAATGAAAAAAAAGATGAGGTAAAATGATGCTATAATGACCTCCAAATCAGTGTCAAGCAAGAAATCCAAAGGATTATTTATATTTTCATTGATTAATTTTAAAGATTTGGTACCATGTTATTTGTTAGAAAAATAATGGCTGTACAATTTAAGAAATTTACAGAGAAAATTAAAAGAAATGATATTTAAGAAAATATTTATAATAGCTACAGGTTAAAAAAAAAAAAAAAAAAAAAATGTTATTTGAGAAATTTCTTACATCCTCTGTTTGAAAGACGCTCTCTGTTTTTCTTTAATGTATCTGTTCCACAAAACTGATAGAGAGGTTCCATTTCAAAGCAAGAGCTATATCGGTCTTGGCTCACCCCATACAGGCTGTCTTCATTCTGAAAGGAATGCATTTTTAGATTTATCAAAGAGAACTATTTCATACATTTTGTTTTATTTAACCTTCCAGTCACAGATCAGCAATACAATATAATCTGTAATTGCTTCTAGTCACAAAAAGAAACCAAAAGAATTATGTATTTCAGTTTTCTTAAAATGTTTTAAACTATACAGATATTTACTAAGCTTAGCTGAGTTTGGTATAAGACTAAATAGAAATAGGGAGAGGGTAAGAAGATTGTATTATGCCAATGTTTCAAATGGGGAAGGCTTGCCTACCTTGAAAACTCAGCTTTTGAAGTGCTATTTTTTTCTAGAATAAAATGTCAACAACTGATGTAAGTGGGAAAGACAATTATCTTGTTCATCAAGTAGACTGGGATATGATAAAAATTATATAGAAGTTAAAGTTACTAACATTTACATTTAATATAGGAAATTTATGCCTAAATAATTGGTAAGTTTGTAAATAAAAACCTAAATGAAAGAAACTCAATGAAAATGAAATGATTTATTAATTCAATTATTGGAAGCATTCATTTTGATAAACATTTAAATTTGATTGAGACTTGAGGAATTTTTTGCATTTAAAATAGCATTCAGAATACATTTAATGTTGTTTGGCAACTGATATATATATATTGTTACCACATCTGGTCTCTTCTGCTATATATTTAGAGATTCTTGATAAAACACAAAGAATCTGCAATATTATTGATCCTGACCTGGTATCTCTGATTCAGTCACTTTCCCATTACCATAACACAGCTTCCCTGTGCCTTTTCTATATATATTTTCATGGCAATTGTTTCTGATGAAATTTCCTCTATGGCATGAATTTAAGCACAGTTCTAGATTGGTAACAACTTTCATCGTTTTACAGTTGAAATGGCTAGAAGTAACCATACAATTTATGCTAGCAGTTTCTTCTCTTCCAGCTTCTTGCTTCCCAGTTAACTTTGATCTTCAAAAATTTAAATGCAGTGTCAATTGTTATCTTCTGTATTTTTAATTCCTGTTATTATTCTCTCTCCTTAATAGTGTTTTTCCCCCTTATTCTCTCACATTCAGTAACCCCTTGTGTCTTAGTAGCTTTATTGCTTTGCTTGGAGCGAAATGATTAATATATATATATATATATATATATATATATATATATATATATATATATAAAACCTAATAACAAAATACATGTGTTTCCTGCCTACCAGCTTTTGTGTCAATGGTATTAAAAGCTTGTCCAGTTTAAAGAGCTATATTCATAGAGAAATCAACACAACCTTACAATAGTCATACTCAGTATCAATGTGGCGACTATCACACAGGCCTATATAATCCTATTAATTTAAATATTATTTTAGTGGATACCCATGTTTGAGTAGAAGCTGAGTTTTTAAATAGCGTGAATTATATCTACCAGCCTGCACATTGTTTAAAAAAACATGGGGCATCTACTGAAACATGGATATCCACTAAAATAATATATTTGGTGTAGTAAGAAATAATTTTTTAAGGTAATGGATTTTATTTAACAATCCGACAGATTTTTATCACTTTAAATGTTACTTTTAATGGATATTCATATTTGAATAGATGCTCCATTTATTTATTAAACTGTATATTTACTTATTTTCATCTACTGGCCTGAATAAATCTTATTTAGTAAAAAAAATATTTCTTGAGAAATGTTAAGATTTCTCAAATATTCAGGAGAGTAGATGAAAATAAATAAATATACAATTTAATAATTAAATGGAGTGTCTACTCAGATATGAGTATTCACTAAAAATAGCATTTATAGGGATAAAAAATAATGTTGGATTAAAAATAAAATACATTAATTTATTAGTAATTTTGCTGATATCATCTAAGGAGTGGATAGACAGATCTGCCTATGAAACTGTAGTCTGAATGCTGAAGCTAACATCAATCTGCTAAGTGATAAACTTTTACTCATTAATTTATATATATATATATATAAACAAACACCAACAGGTGTAGTTTTGAAATCTGCTTACTTTTGAACCGTCCACTTTTACATCTAATGTTATTTTTAAAAAATTTACAACCGTTAGGTTTAAACATAACATGAAGTTGTCACTAGAATATATAAACATAAGCTATTGTTGCAAATAAACCAAAAGAAAAAAAAAAAAAAAGGCAAACTTAAGAACTATTATTAGAAATAGTATAAATTTTGTCTGGATATATATTTTAGCAAAAAGATGACCCTTAATTATGCTGAAAAAGTAATTCATTAATTAAACAATGATACACAAATACAAATTATCCTAAAAACAATTAAAATTTCAAAGTTTAATTTAGTATGAAATTAGGGTAAGAGAATAAACAAAAATAAAACAATATTTAGTAAACTGGTTCAAAAGTAATTTATAAACTGGTACAACAGTAGAGAAACAGTCAATACACCAAAAAATGTTAGGTAATTGAGTGACAAAAAGGGATGAATTCTATGCAATGCATTTCAGCATCTAAACATTCTCATTTGGTTTCCCAACAGAGAACTGTGCAAATTATTTTGATACAAATGTCATGAGTACAAACTAAAAACAAAGAATCAGATGCTCTGAATTTCAGATCCAAACTGATCTCTTTCATCCAGATTAAAAATCATAATTAAGAAAAGGAAGCACTACAAGATTGCACAGGTGGTGGTATCAGTGGACTATGGGATGCAATTGGGGATGGGACAAGAAATTTAGAAAATTCCAGCATCTTACCTGAGAGGCTTCAAAATGTGGAATTTGAAAGTTATGGCTCTGTCTATAATAGACAGGACACTTGGTACAGTACCAAAAGAAATGAGAATAATGTGGAATTTAGGAGAGTTTAGAGATTATCAAGTCCTTGGAAATATAACAGAGAAAAGTGCCAGTGATTTAAGGAGATTTGCTTGTTTATACAATTTCCAATGATAATTACCAGACATCTAGTATGGGTCTACAAATGCACACACACACACATATATATATATATATATATATATATATATATATATATATATGAGAGAGAAAGAAAAAGAGGAGGAGGAGAAAGTAGGAGAAATACAAAGAAGAAGAGAGAAGAAAAAAAACTAAGAAATCAAAGAAAATGAAAACCAAGAAAAATAAAAAGACTAAGAAGAATACAAAAAAGTTATTTTCACTATAAAAAGTGTGGGTAGTTCAACT